TACTTGTGTGTTGGAAGTGAGTATATTCTGGCAAACTCACTCACAAATTTTGGTGTACATATTTCATCGCTTCCAAGTAGTGAAAGCATTATCGTTTCTTTAACTCCACCGCTCTTCACTGCATAGTAGACGTTGTCAATTTGAGTTTGCTCTCCGTGGGTAATTTGCGAGCAAGGAATCCATTCAAGTCTTAAGTATTTATTTTCACTTTCCAAGGAGGATTGGACCAAGTTGTCAATTGTTGGATTATCAATCCCTGGTGCTAACGACATAGTTTGAATTAAAAGTTTTTTTACTACACTATCTGAATGTTCGTTCTAGTGCGCAAATCTTAATATTACTTCTTGCGTTACGTACACCTTTAGCATACCTTTAGCATTCATTTGTCAACATTTGTATTACATAAGCACCAAGTACAGACAAACCTCTATGAACAACAACTACGAACAACTACCATAAACAACAACACCACGAACAACGAATATTAGCAACTGTACTGCAACAGTCACTTGACCGTGCCAAACCGTGCATAGAGAAGTTTATCTGTATTGGCAATTTTTTAGTAAATATATGATAAATCCTTTTTTTCGAACATCTCTATATTGTCTGTACTAGTACGTACTATGTACCTACATGGGGTATTAGTACCTCTTTTGACTTGAACGAGAGAGAAATGGTAGGAAGGTAGGATATGAGAAATGGAGCTTCGAAGCTCTGCCCCTCACGATTATGGTAGGGAACTCGATTTATTTTCGGGGAAAGGGGCGACTCTTCGAGTCATAACAGTTCGCGTGTAAAATATTTGCTTCGCAAAGCGACTTATGTCACTCTCAAATAAATTTCGTTTAATAAATTGAAACGCAAATCAAGGGGTACTTGCAGTTAATTATTACTTGTTTTGTTTAGTTAAACTAGCATTCAAGGTGGATAAACAAAGTCCCGTAACTAATCCTCTCCAGTAAAATGACGAATCAATTGTAATGCCGCTTATAAAATCCAGCATAATAAACCAATTTTTGCAATTGATTTTTCAAATGCAGTACTTCTCTTGGTTTTTGCCGGTGTCTGGTATGTAACACAAATCTTCAATCCAAGAAATCCAAACTCGTAGTGCTCAATACTCACCACGATGCCAAATTCAACGCTGAAATTACCTCACGTGACGAAAGTTTGTTGAGGGTCAATATCAAAGAATCTTTACGTTGCTTAATACTTCTATTACAAGACTCGATGAAATCGAACGAGTCCTTCAAATCTACCATAAATTGAAATTAACCAATGCTATGCAATTGTCCAACAAACCAAATCTATCGAGGAAACAGAAGTCTCTTATTCGAGCCAACGATCATATTCTGATATAACTTCGGAAATCTGGAACCAATTTAGAATTATTTTCGATAGGGTTATGAGAGAGAGCGTGTTCTTTAGATGATATGTGCGGTATTGTAGCCGTTGATATTCTTAATCTCAGGGTGGGAAAGATTTGATCAAAAATTATTATCGTAAAATCAATGATTTAAGAGGTAGTAACTTAGATAAATAGGTGCTTGCAAAACAATTAATAGTGAGTAGCGGGAAAGGAACTCTCATTATATGGGCTAGGGCTCGAGATGTTTCCTTCCTTGAAACCCGCTACTCTATCATTTATCGTATTTTATCATCATTTTAAAAACAATAACTGGAAAAATAAAACTTTATTATGCCTAGTAACTCTATTTAATGAATATACAAGCATTTTCCCGTCCCGAATATAGCATTCTACTGAGCGAGACTGAAAGATTACAGTATTTTTTTCTGGATGATACGCAAATACATTGGTTCCCAAGACTTCATTGGTGCTTGCTCGGGCTTATCGAAAATTTTCTCAAATGCAGTACGGCTAAGCTCTTTAGAAACCAGCAAAGCACTGATGATACGTTTTCCTACTTCATGATGTTCATAAGTTTTGCACTCTGAATTTGTCTTCGATTTTCCTTAAAATTTTGCGTTCAATAACTGCAAAAGCAATGAAGATATTCAAAGAATGAGCAAACAACAATATCCTTGTTAAATAAACCACATACATAATGTAAAATATCAAAACTAATTCTACCCTCAATGGGTATTCCTCCCAGATATTTATCTGCTACAGACATCAAATCTACAATGCATCCACCAACCAAATCAAATAATTTCTCTGCTTCTGTGGTATCAATCTTGCTCTCCTTAACAGTCTTGATTCCACGCTTTGATCAGGTAGTCCAATGATTCTTTTCTGGAGAGGTCACCAATTTCGATTGGTTCTTCTACACGTGACCAAGCACTACGTGCTAGAAATAAGAATAAATATGACTGTAAGAGAGTCAAAAAAACTTTGTTAGAACTTACACTGCATTCTTCGAGGAACACTTCCTTCGCTACTAACAAACACTGCAATGTACTTTCTGTCAT